CGGGCGGCGCACTGCAAAACGTGGGGGGGGGGGGGGGGTGTAAAACAGGAGCTATCTAAAGTTCTCAGTAACTTCAGCTGAATCTTGCAGCAATCAAGAGCATGTGAATATTTATTTTTTTAGACTCCATTAAAAATGGCTACAAATTACCAGTGTGATCAAACTGGAAACTATGCACAGTTCCACAGAAACTTAATGTGGTTTTATTCATAGTTGATTCCTTTTAACAAATGTAAAAAGTATACCGTAAAATAGACCTGTAATGATTAAGGGTAATGATACGTTACATTTTGTGTTTTGGGGTAGTAGTTTACTTACAAGGTAATGTTGGGCTAAGGCCCATCATTTTATATCAAAAAAGCTAAAATTGTGAAAAATATTGTATTCTGATAATTGGATACAGTTAACAAACACCTGGGCCCAAACTTTAAAATATCTGCATATTCTTAACAATCAGTAATAAAGCTTTAAAACAAGCTATTCCTGACCGCTCTAGTTGTCTACTATGAAGTAATTCATTCACAAAGATCCTCAAAGATTACAACATAGACTCAAAAGTCTGGTTTCAGCCTGTTTCTAACAGCCTAAAAAACATAATGTGCTGGATTACATTGCCAATGGCAAGCTGCCAAGACTCTACTACAGTAATACCTTGGTTTACGAGTATAATTTGTTCTGGAAGCATGCTTGTAATCCAAAGCGCTTGTATATCAAAGCGAATTTCCCCATAGGAAATAATGGAAATTCAGATGATTCGTTCCACAACCCAAAAATATTCATATAAAACCTATTACAATACTGTACTGCAATATAATATAATACTGTACAAAATATAAAGAAAAATAAACCAATTACCGGTACCTTCGTGGCTGGTGTGAGGGGGACAAGAGAGAGGAGGATTATTTTGTAGGACGACTTTCACTATCGCTAACGGAATCACTGCTATCTCGTGACTCAATGGAATCTTTTTCATTTCGTGAAACCTTAACAAGGAATCTATCCAATGTGACATTGCATTGTCGTTAAACAGACTCATCGCTCGCACTGCTACAGCCTTATTCGGGTGGTGCTTTTCTACTAAATTTTGCTCTTATTGCAAGACATTGCTTGTATATCAAGGCAACATTTTTCAGAAATGTTTGCTTGTCTTGCAAAACACTCTCAAACCAAGTTACTTGTAAACCAAGGTATTACTGTAACTTAGAAATAGTCTTTTTCAAACCTCTGCTGTGAATTTTGAAGATACATTTTTGTTCCACAATGCATATAGCTAAGGAGGTGAATGAGGGCTTGTTTTAAATTGCTCTTACTGCTTGTTTGGAATATGTAATTACTGTAGTGCACATTTTTCTGGGCACAGACCCACTTTAATTCATTTAATGGTAGTATTCAATATATAAATTCTCTTTATAAATGACTTTACATTTTGCCTCTATTTATGTGTAAACCAAGCTATCTAGCTGAAGGACAGTGACAGGGGTGGGGACAAACTATTACACTACCTGGGGTAATTACAACAGTCACCTTTAATTCATATGGCTTAATCTCCTTAAAAATTCTCAAGCAACCCTGGCAGTGTTATAATTTGTTCAGCCTCTGTCACTCACACATGTTTGCTGGACAGTTTGGTTTCCTTGTAAATGTGTAAAAAATATGTAGACATGTAAAAAAAAAGGAATTTGTATAGTGAATACTATTAGTACTTAGTAAAAAACTGAATTTAGTTACCCGAGTACAATTTTACAAATCACACTGGTAATGCCTGATTCCTGTCACTGATGACAAAACTGTGACTATTTCACAAATTGACTGAACTGCTGAGTATGAATCATCATGTTATTCTGCAATATCATTAGCTTGCTAAAATAGTGTAATACTATGGCAATACTAAAACATGAACATGTATAACTTGCATATATTCAATCATGAAGTTAAAGTTTTATTAAAGTATAATTGTCTGGGGCACAGTACTGTAAATTGTGTAATAATGGCTTATTGTACATATACAGCAAACATCGGTTTTAGGGCTCGTTCACACATCCTGCGCGGCTCCATGGTATAGTTTATGTAACACAGCAATTACTTGTTTCTCATCTTTGGAGATGGAAAGGTGATCTTTCCTTTAGACAGGCTCACAAGACTATTGTCCAGCCCAACAAAGAGGACCATGTCCTTATGGCTGAACTAGAGAGAAAGAGCAGTTTCAAAAAGTATATGGGTTAATGAGGTAAACAATACAGTAGCCTGTTCTACAATTGCTGCAGAAAAGGTAAGACATTATAATATGCTGCAATTTATAAACAGTAGTAGAAGTGCTGCAATATTTAGCTTTGGTTGAGTAAATGGTGTACTGAGCTCCCACTGGTGGTTACATGGAGTATAATCATTGGGTGAAGTTGTTTGGTTCTACCAGTTTCACAACCGGCAATGGCCATGTGCCACACCTTGGTATTGGTCACATTGCTGGACACCAGAGGGAGCCTGATGCCCTTTTTATTTATGTGCAGCTATATAATGTATACCCACATATATGCTACATATCCTGCTTATTAGTACAGCACAGTGACTACACTTTACTTCTCCTATCAGCTATTTTAAAGTCCATGGACAAGGCTCACTTAGAGTATTTTACTGTAAATAATAGAATCTCTAGGTGGTTTGCCCAGTAATTGATTTTCACGTAGTAGGTGTCCACCAAGGATGCTGATGGTTCTCTCTATCAGTGAGGCTCTCCCCTAGAAGGAGCACATAAAAATCATGTGACAAAGCAATTACATAAACATATGCAAATCCTAACTTTACTCATAGGTAAACTTCATAGTCGTAGTTTATAATGAGCTCTTGATAATATGTGATTAATTCCATTTAATTCAATCAGATTTCAGTGCCAATTGGATTGTGTGTCATGTGGCTTCAAATGTTTAAAAGAGAACTATGGGGTAACCTTTTTATCCCATAGTTCTCTTAAGGTTCACGGGAGGACATATACTAACATCCTCCCGTGACCCAAAGCTCAGTATATAGTGAGCTATTGCTCACTATATACTGAGAGTGCCGCAGCCGGGACAGATCCTGACAATGCTGTTGAGATCCACCCAGCTGTGTGAGTGACAGCGGGCTCTGTCTAGAGGCAGAGCCAGCTGTGCCCACACCCACCCCATCCATTTCTCCAGTCAGCACTGGAGGATCGGATCGGGGGAATCCCTGCAGGGAGCGGTGACTGACAGTCACCACTCTCGGCAGGTAGATGATCGGAAAGTGAGTGAGCGACGGTATGTGTTCGCTCACTTCCCGATCTATTGAGCCGACGTGTGACAGTTTTATTGTCACAGGTCAGCTCGAACTATGAGGTTGAGTGAAAATCACTCACCTCATAGTTCTCCTTTAATTCTGAATATGAAATGACATTTGAAAACATATTCAAAGTCAGTGCTTTCTTTTATGGTATGAAAAGTACTTTGAGCACCCACCTATTATTTGAAGGTTTAGTACCATCAGGAGTGCAGCTTCATATATGAACTCAAAATTCAAATTGATATAAAACTGTTTCGATCAATCAGTATGCTGCTAACCCTTCGTTGTCCAGTTACAGGCTGGAGGCAGGGAAGCACTAAAATACAATAAAGTTAGGTCACCAACATGGCTGTCTGGCAGGTCTGTAAATCTCAGTAAATCTCAAGACTATGTAGACAGAAATACAAATCATTTGGCAGGTAAAACAGCTCCCATATGTGTATTTCACCGGTGTATGTAGCTGTTTACCAAGAGTTTCATCTAACTAACAAAATATAAAAATGTTCTTTTCTGGATATGCTAAAAGGTGTATTTCCCGACTAATATCACACTAATATATGTTTTGCTTATATGAGTGTTTTTAATGAACATGAAATAAACCTGCATTAATATGGCTTGACAAACACAAACTGATATCAAAGAGTGGTAAAGCGATGGAAGAGTTTATGATCTCTCATGCCATATGTTCCAAAAGAGATAGTACAGAATTATTTATTCAGTCTGAATATCTAATTTCCTTAAAGTGTTGATAAAATATAGTATTTAGATATAATCTCTATTGTGCGTGTTCAGTGAATAATAAAGCTGGCTTACACTTTAGATCAATAAATTGACTTGGATGATGTCAGACTATAGCGTTTTTTATAGGTTTGGGCAGATATGCGTGTGATCACATTTGACAAATCCAGACAATTGTCTCCTGAACCTATCTTCTCCATCATGCACCTGGCAATATACATGGTTATATGATTACTGAACACATACAAGCTAATTCAATCATAATACATATAGATTTTCTAGCCAATGCATTCAATATAAGACTAGATACTGATCAGGCAAGTCATCCATGTATGCTATTCTAAACCTACTCTGGGTCATATTTAGCCCATGCCACTAGATAATTTCACTGTTTGCTGTAGCCCAGGAAACATCAAATAATGGTTTTATTTTCTACTCTGCGTAAGGAGCACAGCACCTTTAAAGTGATATTAAAGTCAAAAGGATTTAGGTCATTTCAAATGCTGATTAAAACACTTAAAATTAATCCTGCTCCTTGAAATGTAAAAGTGTTAGCTTCCTGTAGAATCAGCTGGTCCCCTGAGCACTGCCACATATTTTGTTTTAGGATGGCTCAATTCCCTTGCAGGATCCTTTATAGCCACCCTTGTGTGTGCTAGAAAGCTGTGTGTCTCCACAAACACACAGACACAGCAAGGCAATTCACTCCACTCCTCCCTTTTCTCCCGATCCCTCTTCCTCCCTCCTCCCTTCTCCAAGTTAGTAGATGGACAGCTGCTAGAGACTGTTCTGTCCCTTATGATCTTGTACTAAACAGGAAGTACGGGTAAATGGAGCTAAGAGAGCTAAATGCTGGGGCAAAAAGTTAAAGAAAAACTTTGGTGGACAATGTACAGTATATTTGTTTGATCTAGAATCATTATTGAAAAAGTTTGTGAGTTTAATACTATTTGCTACTTACCACTTGTCTTTTATTACAGCTGTCTCCCCTATCTGAACGTTTCTCCGATGAACAGTTGGTTGGAATGTCAGTGCGGGAGTTAAATCGCCAGCTCCGTGGTTTCAGCAAAGAGGAGGCTTTGCGGCTAAAACAACGCAGACGCACTTTGAAAAACAGAGGGTATGCCCAGTCCTGTCGGTACAAGCGGGTACAGCAGCGCCATGTCCTGGAGACCGAGAAGTGTCAGCTGTCTCGCCAGCTACAGCAACTTCAACAAGAAGTGGTTCGGGTGACCCGAGAGAGGGACGGCTGGAGAGCACGATATGAGAAACTGATGAATGCTACAGGAGGGGGCACTGGGGCAGATGTGCTGGGTACAGGGGGAGACACGGGGTCGGGAGCTGAGCTCTTCCTGTGATTTTCCAATGAAAAGACTGAAACCCAACTCTGAAGGTGTTACTCGCTTTTAGGAGACTGACCTGCCCCTGAAGATAAGATTCATATTATGCAAAGCCCCTAATGTGCATCATGTAGGCCCTGAAAAGATTTACTGCCCCTCCATTATTTTTCAGAACTCAGAAAACATGTAATTGTTTTGACTTCAACATGATACACATGTACCTTTCAATAGCTTATTATTTCATTACACCAACATGCTAATAACATCTCCTATGCCATGCTCTGTGTGTCTGCTGTACCAGAGCATGAATTCATGGAGACCTTAACCTTTACTGACCAAAGAACATTCCTCTTTTATTGAAAACCCAACTCCATATGTATATATATATATATATATATGGAGTATATGGTATATATTGCCTTCTTTGATCCTTACAGCATGTTTCAGCTCTTGAAGCATCTGTTGTACCCAAACATGCCTCTGCCTCTGGGAATCATGTCTTTGGCTGTCAGAGCCTTGCAATGTATCATGGGACTTATAGTTCCCCAAGAGCTGGGGCACCAAGGTTGCCTATCCCTGCACTGGACACAACTGCTTTGTCTAATCGGGGTTAGGCAACCTCGGCACTCCAGCTGTTGTGGAACTATTAACTCCAAGAGGTTTTGATGTACTGTGACAGGCATGACTTACAGAGGCTGGAGTGCCACGGTTGCCTACCTCTGGTCTAACCACATCTACACCTCTATGGCAACAAACAAAACAGGAAACTGCTCTATTAGCACAGGGGATTCTTCAAAAGCTGGTTATAGGCATTAGGGGCCACAAAAAGTAATGCATACTATTTACAAAGTTGATTTCACTGCCATGCAATCAGGATTGCCAAATCCTATCTTTAATTACTGACAAATCTAAGTTATAAGAGGTGCTGTGGTTAATTAAATCCAGTCAATATCTTAACATTTACCTAGCCACAATTCATGTTTAATTGCAATAGCTAAGTAATCAAAGGGATGACTTGGCAATCCTGTCTGCATTCTTGACATTTTTAGGAATGTAGATTATGTAACGCATCTACCTACTTTTGCCCATGCTGACAAATAAAACATATCAAGGACTGGCTGAGCCTGTCCATTTCCGGGGTGCTCTTCTTTCCTCTTTCTATAGCCTCTGCTCCCATCTTAGGGAGCTGAAGAAATATTCTGGTCTTTTTTTGAGGGAAACATTAAGTTATTGCATTTTTATGTGTGTGATTGTGAGTTGAAATAAAATGCAACACTTTACAGGCTGCACTCCCTGCACATAAGGGGCAAACTTAGTGTGTTACTAGGCAGACTTGGCTGTGTGTTGTGAAAAGTTTTAAGAATTGTTTTTTTTTCCTTCTCAATTATTATTATTTTGTATTCGAAAAAAATCTATAACAGAAAAAAATATCTATTTAAACATAGAAAAATAAACTATGCAGAGTTTTTACAGCAGAACTCATTGCAATTCATTTATTGTTGTTATGTGCCTGTTACTGTGCACTTGCAGTTGTTGAAGATATCAACATGGTCACTTCATTACAGTATGCCATATTTTTATGTTTGCAATTCACTAATGGTTTTAGCAGACATATCTGCTAAATTTATTGAATGTTTGTAATGTCAAATAATCAAATTTGGCCTTATTATATATGTCAGTTCACAAAAACAGTCACACAAGCTATATAGCGCTCCTTAAAATACACTATATTGTCAAAAGTATTGGGACACCCCTCCAAATCATTGGATTCAGGTGTTTCAATCACCTACATGGCCACAGGTGTATAAAAATCAAGCACCTCGGCATGCAGACACTTCTACAAACATTTGTGATAGAATGGGTCGCTCTCAGGAGCTCAGTGAATTCAAGCGTGGTACCGTGATAGGTTGTCACCTGTGCAATAAGTCCATCCGTGAAATTTCCTTACTACTAAATATACCATGGTCAACTGTTAGTGGTATTATAACAAAGTGGAAACAAGTGGGAACAACAGCAACTCAGCCATGAAGTGGTAGGCCACGTAAAATGACAGAGCGGGGTCAGCACATGCTGAAGCACACAGTGCGCAGATGTCGCCAACTGTCTGCAGATGCAATAGCTACAGACCTCCAAACTTCGTGTGACCATCAGATTGGCACAACAACAGTGCGTAGAGAGCTTCATGGAATGGGTTGCCATGGCCGAGCAGTTGCATCCAAGCCTTACATCACCAAGTGCAATGCAAAGCGTTGGATGCAGTGGTGTAAAGCATGCCGCCACTGGACTCTAGAGAAGTGGAGATGTGTTTTATGGAGTGACAAATCATGCTTCTCTGTCTGGAAATCCGATGGACGTGTCTGGGTTTGGTGGTTGCAAGGAGAATGGTACTTGCCTGACTGCATTGTGCCAAGTGTAAAGTTTGGTGGAGGGGGGATTATGGTGTGGGGTTGTTTTTCAGGGGTTGGGCTTGGCCCCTTAGTTCCAGTGAAGAGAACTCTTAAGGCATCAGCATACCAAGACATTTTGGACAATTTCATGCTCCCAACTTTGTGGGAACTGTTTGGGGATGGCCCCTTCCTATTCCAACATGACTGCGCACCAGTGCACAAAGCAAAGTCCATAAAGACATGGATGAGCGAGTTTGGGGTGGAGAAACTTGACTGGCCTGCACAGAGTCCTGACCTCAAATGAATTAGAGCGGAGACTGTGAGCCAGGCCTTCTCGTCTAACATCAGTACCTGACCTCACAAATGCACTTCTGGAAGAATGGTCAAACATTCCCATAGACACACTCCTATACCTTGTGGACGGCCTTCCCAGAAGAGTTGAAGCTTTTATAACGGCAGAGGGTGGGCCAACTCAATACTGAACCCTACGAACTAAGACTGGGATGCCATTAAAGTTTATGTGCGTGTAAAAGCAAGCGTCCCAATACTTTTGGCATTACAGTGTAGCTTGTAACTGGCATTAAAAAAGAACTATGAGGTAACCTTTTTATCCCATAGTTCTCTTTAGGTTCACGGGAGGACATATACTAATCTCCTCCCGTGGCCCAAAACTCTATATACTGAGAGCGCCGCAGCCAGAACGGATCCCGGCAAAGCTCCACTTTCTGCAGGGAGATGATAGGGAAGTGAGCAAACGACGGTATGTGTTCGCTCACTTCCCGATCAATAGAGCCAACCTGTGACAGTTTCAATGTCACAGGTCGGCTCTAACTATGTGGATGAGTGAAAATCACTCACCTCATAGTTCTCCTTTAATTGTGAGGTTCTTCGAGGTGTACATTAGGGAGAGCAGTAAATGTAGTAATTTGAGAAATATATAAAACAACCCTTCATAAAAAGTCAAGCCCCAGTCACACTTGCAAATGGGGTGGAATCGCAGAATCTCACAAATTCCTCCATGAGACTCATCCGATCTGCTGCAGGTGGGAGGCAATATACAATACAATGACAGCTGCCACCAACCATAGCAGGCCATTCGCACAGGCTGCAAACAGCTACGGGTGGTGGCATCAGTTATTGTACTGTACAGCGCCTCCCACTCGCAACAGATCTGATGGATCTAATAGAGGAATTTGTGAGACTCTGCGATCCGACCCCATTCATAGGTGTGAATGGTGCTTTGATGTGTGCAACAATGAGAAACTTAGGTGAGACAAAATGAAGACAAGGGCTACAATATACATCTTAGTGAAATAACCCTATAGTCTGGGTGGTAAAAAGTCAGGTGATCTGACATTATTATGCTTATACACACATATGTACAACTTGTTAGCATCTCTACAGGAGCATAAAACACTCAGCTCATTTACTTGTACTGCCTGCCCATGGTTCTATCCATCCCATGGATTGTGTACTGAGGGAAGATAAGGCAAGAGGGTATGCATGAGGATTTGTGTGTGTGTGGGGGATGGCAGCAACATGGTTCTGTGAACTGCGGCAAAGTGATAAAAAAAAAAAGAAAAAACAGCCTATGTATGATTTACTAATGAATAAGTTAAAGTACACAGTGGTTTAGAGATTAGCACTTTTGCCTTGCATGATCTGCAAGGAGTTTGCATGTTCTCCCTGTGCTTGCGAGGGTTTCTTCCCACACTCCAGTGCCATGCTGGTAGGAAAATTGGCTCCTATCAAAATCGGCCCTGTATGTTTGTGGGATAGGGACCTTAGATTGTAAGCTCCTTGAGGGCAGGGACTAATGTGAATGTGCACTGTGTAAAGCACTGTATGAATTGTTGGTGCTATATACAGTAAACTCTCTCTTATCCGGTATTCAACTAACCAGAACACTCATCTAACCAGAAAAAAAAATCCCTTGTGCACTCACTGTTTTGCTGATCTGCTGCATTTCCTATCCTGGAAATGATCTTGTGTCTATTTGTCTTAAAGTGTTGTTAAAGCATCATTTTTTTTCTTTTCTCCTTTAAGTAGACCCTCCTTTGCTGAGGCTGTTGCTTTTTTTCTTTTAAAGCTCCTCATTTTCTACTGGCTCCCTGCAGCGCTCTTCCCTCCCCCTCTGCACGGGTGCCACCATCGTTCTAATGGAGGCACCAGTGCACGCTCGTGCCAGCTCGTTTCCGCAGTGGCTGTGTGCGTCCATAGACACACACAGCCCTGTGGCAGGCCCCGCCCAGGCCCGGATTCCCCACAGGGCCACCGAGGCACGGCCTCGGGGCGCCAGGACGCAGAGGGGCAGCAGCGGTGTCCATGTGGGGAAGCTCCAGCCGTCGGGCGGTAAGTTGCCCTCTCTACATTCAGTCCTGCTTCGTACAAGCAGGACTAAATGTAGAGTGAGGCAGCCGATTGTTCGTTTACATGTGAACTCGGCGATGTCGCCGAGATGACATGTAAACAGTGTGCAGCCTCCTCCCCCCCTCCCCCTGCACTTACCTCTCTCCTCGCTGGCTCCGTCCTCCGGGCTCTGGCGCCGAGTCCTGCAGTGAGCGCCAGGGTTAAAAGTAACCCTGGCGCTCTGTGTAGACAGTGAGAGGGCAGAGCTGTGCTCTTCCCATCTCACCTGTCACAGGAGTTCCAGCACAGTGCTGTGCTAGAACAATTTATTGGGTGATAGCGCCGCTTCACATATTTGGATGATATCTTCTTAACTTGATTGGATGTTTGAAGAGTAAAGAGGTGCCTTACGTCATACTTTAATTATTATTATTATATAGGATTTATATAGCGCCAACAGTTTGCGCCGC